TATATAAATGTTTCACTGTTTGTAAATCTGTCGTTTAGCTGTTTAAGTTTCAAACACATGTGTATCTTGCTCCGTATTTAAAGTTGACCATCAGCTTTAGTGTTTCCTCTTCTCTGTGTATCTTCGATAATCCGTTTGCTGTTAGTGATCGTGATTCCTTATTATAGAATTTATTATCCACCTATCGTTCTCACAGTTCTTATTCATATCTTTTAGCATTTCACGTAGGGTTCCATTGATCTTCATAGTTGGCTACACGATACGTGCTTCTGTCTCATAGTATACCGATAATTTTTTCGATTTGCTTTTTCCTGTCTATTATCACTATTGCTCATTTATCTTCCTGGAAGACTAATTCTTTATTTGTAGACTCCTGCGTATTCCCGCTAGCCTGTTCCTGTATTTTTGGTTCCTACTATGTTGAGATTCTCAGTAATCTTTCCATTTTCATTTCACATTTTGTCTCCTCAGAGAACTTGTCGGATATATTGATGACCTATACAAGAATATCTTCAATGTTTCTTTCGTTTTGAAGAAAAATGCAGCCCTTTCTAAACTCAATCCCTGATTAACTGTAGTTATTTATTTTTAACATTTTGTCATGATGAACGACTGCATATTTGAGGAAATGTTATTGAAGCGTGAGATAGCCACCACTGTGATTAATAGTGCTCATGCGGTACCTCGATGACAACTTTGCACTTAAGTCGCAAGATACCTCTTAGAAGAAATAATTAAATTCATCCGAAATAAATAATAAAAATACACAGGCCGTGAAAAGCCGATGCCAGGAGGGGAATTGTGAAAGAAAAATAAGAATGGAGAAAGGCCCACAAAAATAGATATACTTAACTTTCTGCGAACTAACTCAAAAACTAAGGCCAAAATAAAAAAAAGAAAAAACACTTTACAATTATATCCAAGCAGCATGAAAAGATAAACAAATTGGATTGCTCAGCAGTTTACTGAATAGCATGCGGAGTCTGCAAACAGAAATATATTGGCAAAATAGAGAGAATAATCAGCGTAAGAAGGAAGAAACATCAAATGCTCTCCAGGAAAATGGATACCAAAATACCGGAAATAGCAAAGCAAATCGCAGACTGCTCACGAAATAAGTTGGAAGGCATGGGATTTAGAGGCTAGACGCTCTGTTCGGTAAGGCGACAGTTGATGCGGCTCTAAAGACTTGAGAATAAAGCGTATACACGAACTGGAACAGAAGGAAACTAGTTAACCAGAAAGATAAGAAACGGATATACGAATCCATGACGGAAATTCGGATGAGGTTCGAACCAGGTCAACAAAGCGAGGGAGAGGAAGCAAGATAGAGAAAATGTGATAGGACCACACTAAACTCGCCAACTCTAGAGTAGTCAAATATAAATCAGAAGATGTGCTATGGTAGGATTGAGGAGGGCAAAGAGTGGATAGTTGTGCAGGACAGAATGTGGAATGAAAGCGCAACTGTTAGACAAAAAGGTAACCAAGAAATAGAATTGTCCCTTTGAAGAGTTGTAGCTTGATGCTAAGAATGGCAAGACTCAATAACGATGCCGGCGAAACGTATGGGAATGTACCAAATCCACGGTCTGACCCTGGAGTGATTATCATAAGTACTATAGCAGAAAACTTCGGACAAAACGCGTCCAATCAGGTCCCCTTGACAAACACGAACAGGTTAGGAAAACGATGTCGGACCATTTCTAAAGAGAATATAATCAAAGCAACATAATGCTTACAAATATTTCTTCAAGAATATAATGATTATAATGGTCCTCTAATGAATGTAATTCAAGTTAAATGAGCTTTTAAAAATAGCCCTTAAGATAAATATTGTAACTAATACTCAGGAGTGAGATCTTTCATGAAAATATATTAACAAAAGAAATCCCCAGTTTAAGTGATAAGTGAAATTTGCAGCACACACCTGATTCAGGTTGTGACAAATCATCAACAGTTACGCTTGCAGCAGAACTCGCCAGTGGGTTTGCGTTATTTGAGTTGGCGAGCTGTATACCAGTCGCATACGCTGCTAATTGTTGAGCTTGTCGATTCCAAGCAGCACGGAAACGTAGCTGTGCCTCCAGACTGTCCATTGCACCAGCCAGCCAACTCCACACAGGAGAGAGTGCTAAGCCGACTCCGGCGCAGGCTTTAGCTTGCTCTTGTTCAGAGAGGCCAAATAAACAAGACATAATGCCAGGAGTCTGGGCCAGATGAGTTGTCACGCGATAAGTGAAAGTATTAGAAGATAGAAAAATAATATGTGAAACGATATAAACTAATTAATGAAAGTCACAGGAAAGCATGTTAAAGAATAGGATCATGACATGATAAACTAGATAATTTAGAAATAAAAATTACACTCGCCAAATGGCTAGATAAACTTAAATAAGATGCAAAGACTAAACTGTTTATCATTTAATGTTCTATGTTGCGCGTTAAAAGATGTCTCAAACAAAAATGACAGATACTGGAACATTTGTCTGCCTTATTAAAAGATTCTTTTAACTAGAAGCATAAGAGCTGCGTAGATGAAGCGGACATATAATAATGATAATGGGAAATTTATATCTGAAAGTATTTAGCTCAGGTATGAAGACCAAGATTGTGTGGCCTTTTGTGTGGTCGCAGTCTCCTTGCAATCTCTTTTCCTAAAATTAAGGATATTACCTTGTTCCAATCGTCTTCTTTTTGCTGATCTTCCTGTTGCCTGGTATTCTTCTAGTTTGTTTAGGCAATATGCAAAGTTTTCGCTGATTCTGCCTCCTTCAAGTCTTCTATTCATTAGATTTCTCTCAGTCAGTATATCAATGGCCTTTCGGATCTTGCGCTTTCTCGTTATTTCACCATATCCAGCCAACCTATCGGTCGATTTCCAGTCGATTTTATGCCCCGTCCGTGCAATGTGTTCCGCTATTTCTGATCCTTGTGTATCCATATTTCCGCAGAGTCTTTGATGTTCCCTGATTCGTAGGCCGATTTTTCGTCCTGTTTTATCGATGTACTTCAGCTCACAGTTTCCGCATTTGATGCGATAAACTCCCGAACATTCAAGTTTATCCTTCTTCTCGTTTTGTGTTGGCAGACCGGTGAAAAG